GTGGGCGAGCCCTGCCCGACTCCCCAGGGCCACCACTCGCACCCGTTTCAGAGGGTTTTGGAGTGATGGGTGCCTCAGAGGTCGTGTAGTTAGTGTTATTCAGTGGGACTTCCTGCGATGGAGGACAAGGAAACTGTCCCCTGTGCTCTTCTGTCTGCGTGGTACCATAGAAGGATGAGAGGTGCTGGAGACAGGCGGTCCCAGGTTCAAATCCTGACCGCACCACCTACTGATGCTGCACCTGATGATTTGCTCTGCAGATTCTCAGGCCTCTCATCCGCCAGTGATTGCAGCTGTAGGGTTATTAGAGGAGCTAAAAGAGTTCAAGTTCTCGTACAGTAATTGGCACAGAGGATGTAATTAGTATCTTTAAGTTCTTCCCTGTAAGTTTATGAATAAGCTTTCCTCCTGTTAGTGGCCTGACGTTTCCTGGCGGAGAGATTGAGTTTTCCCAGGCTTTTGGGTGTGTCTTTGCCACTTTTCCGAGTCTCTGGTACCCAGAGGTGTTCGTTAAATGTTTAACAACCATCTCTTTGCGGAAAGGAAGCCCCGATATGTACTGGTTGCTGATTGCTGTACATAAAAATGGCCACCGTTGCCAGGTTTCAAGCCACCAACATGTCACCAGGTCACACAATTCCTGCATTGTTACCAGCTGGGCTCTTGAGCAGGATGAAGCCAGCCTCAGCACACCCNCAGATGGAGTTTCCCGATGCCTCCTTCCAGGTGGTGTTGGACAAGGGCACCCTGGACGCTGTCCTGACAGACGAGGAGGAGAAGACCCTGCAGCAGGTGGACAGGATGCTGGCTGAGGTTGGCCGTGTCCTGCAGGTGGGCGGTCGCTACCTCTGCATCTCCCTGGCTCAGGCTCACGTCCTGAAGAAAGCAGTGGGTCACTTCTCTCGGGAGGGGTGGATGGTGAGGGTGCACCAGGTGGCCAGCGGCCAGGACAAGGTGTTGGAAGCAGAGCTGCGGTTCCCCCTGCCTGTCTTTGCCTTCATCATGACCAAGTTCAGGCCCATCCCTGGCTCTGCCCTTCAGATCTTTGAGCTGTGTGCTCAGGAGCAGGGCAAGCCCATGCGGCTGGAGAGTGCCGAGCAGCTGGCCGAGGCAGTGCGGGAGCGGCAGCAGTATGCCTGGCTGTGCAGCCAGCTGTCCCGCAAGGCTGGGCTGGGGAGTGTGTCCTTGGACTTGTGCAATGGGGACACGGGGGAGCCACGCTACACCCTCCACGTGGTGGACAGCCCCACTGTGAAACCAACGCGGGACAATCATTTTGCCATTTTCATCAGTGAGTTGGGATCGGTCCCTCTCTTCCCTGGAGGGGCTGGGGTGGGGCTTTGGTGGATGGGTATGCCGTGGCTGGTTTTAGCTTGGAGGGGGCGGTACTCTCAGAGGTTAGACTAGCCAAGGCACGAGGAGGGTACACCAGCAGCTCTCCAGCTACCTGCTTAGATTTGGAGCTTGTTTCTTCTCATCTTCCATTGCAGAGGCTTGATGAAGGAGAATGGGGCTGGTAGGGAGGAGAGAGGAGTAACAGATCAATTTGGGGAAGTCACACATTGTAGAGATGTTAGTTACTTTGTAACGCGCAGTAGTGATGTTCCTTACTTTGTACCATGGAGTAGGGGAGGCAGTGGAGTCTATGAGCTGCCAGACCCTGGGAAGTTGATGTGCTTCTCTGCTGAATGTAGAGACAGTACAGAGTAATGGCTAAAGAAGTGAGCACTGGAACCAGACCAGTTGGGTCCCAGGCCTGTTTGCAGTCACTTCCTGGTGGTGTGACATCCGACATGTTCCTTTCCTTTCTGTGCTTCAGTTTCGTCATCTGTAAAGTGAGAGCGTTAACTGCTTTGTGTAGTTGTGAGAAGTGTAAAAACACTCTTAGGACGGTGCTTGGCACGTAGTAAGTGCTTTGTAAATGTAAGCATCATTATTAAAATGGGTAGATCATACCAGATTTATCTTAATGATCAGAAAAGAGACTGAGGGAATACTTTCAGAAGTAGTAAATATTAAACAAATACAAGGTGTTGATATGGCCATGCTCGTCATTTGATGACTGAGCCATTTTTCCAAGGATTCCATAATCCTAACTGTCCACCTGTAGGAACGGATAGTGCATTGGATGTGAGCATGGAGTCTGGGGCTGGACTGCCCGGGTTGAGGCCCAGCTTTGCCACTTATTAGCAATGTGAACTTGGGCAAATAATGTAACTTCTGTGTCTCAATTTCCTCATTTATGCAGTGCGAATAGTAATGCTGTCTGCATCCTGGGCTGTTATGAGGATTCAATTCATTTCTGTTTGTAAACTGCTTGGGCTAATGCCTGGCATGTAATAAGCCTTGGCATCACTGCAGTTTTTCTTGCCCCAGGTGCCTGCCCTCATCCCCTTGTGCACGTGCCCACACTTCTGTTGCCCCTTGGTCCTCCCTCGTGTCTTCTGGCTGCTTTGATCTGCGCCTTGTGCCCTGGCGAATCAGTAGCCCCTCGGAGGGTCACAGCTGGAAGGGCTGCTGGGCCTGGGCAGGGCCTGGCTCTCTGCCATGCGGCTCCTATTGGCTTTGGGCTTGAACACGCTCCCGAGGGCTCCCTGTCACCAAGTGCCTGTTTGCAGTTCCCCAGGGCCGGGAGACCGAGTGGCTCTTTGGCATGGAAGACGGCCGGAAGCAGCTGGCCTTGAGCGCTGGCTTTAGGAGGCTGATCACCGTGGCCCTCCACCGAGGTCAGCAGTACGAAGGCATGGACAGCATCCAGGCCGAGCTGTCGGCCCGAGTCATGGAGCTGGCCCCGGCTGGGATGCCTGCCCAGCAGCAGGTAATGAAGCTCCGGCAGCAGCTTTCACAGGTGTCTGGAGAAGTCATATTAGCAGCTGGGAAGGCAGAGGGTGTGCTGGAAGGACCTAGGATGGGGTGTGACCCTAGTCTGTTCCTGGAGGGCATGTCAGCAGCTACGAGCTAAGTGGGCAGGAATCGTGTTCCTTTGCGCCAGGCAGTGAGGAAGGCGTGTGGTTGCCCAATTGGGACCCACGGAGCGTCTTTGTCAGGGGTGGGGTGGCCTTTTGGACTCCACAGAGACCGCCTGGAGGAGATGCTTGTCCTCCTTGCAGACTCCAGCTCCTCATACTGCCAGTTGCTCAGACTGGGTGTCTCACGCCCCACTTTCGCACAGGACTTCCTTGGCCATTTTGCTGCTCAGAAGCATCATTATCTGAGGGTAGGGAAAGGACCAGACCAGCTCAGCATGATTGTCAGGATATGAGCGTTACTGGTCTGGTGTTTTACTGGGAAGGAAACCGAAGGTTTTTGTCAAAATGGTGACGTGGTCTTATCAGTTGACACTGTCTGTCTTGTGCCATCCTGGTCACAAGACAGGGTAATTGACAGGTGATTGTATTGTGTTTATAGTAAGGACTATATCCTTGCTAGAGGGGAAAGCCCGGTACTGGAGGCTTGGTGCTATAGGAACAGGCCTGAAAAGAACTCCTGGGTCCCAGCCGGGAGTTCTGCCCACTGGGCTGATCTGTGCTTACAGATGAATGTGTGTTTGGGTGCTTCCTGGGTTGGTGTCCATCAGAGGGATCCCACTGGTGACGTCCTACCAGTGACTCTATCTCTGAGCAAAGTCAGGAGTCCCTGGTGATGATTAAATATTCACCTATGTCTTTCAAAAGAAATAGATGTAAAGATTGGGAAGGGAAATGGAAAAGTTTAGGGGGAAACATATTATTCTCATTTTTTTCTCCCGTTTAGAGTAATACAATAAAAAGATGAGGGTAACAAGGGAACCGAGAAGTGCCTGTCCATTCTGGGTGGTCGCTTTCCCCCTGGATTTTGTTGTCTTATCCCTATTGAGATGCCTTCTCCCCTAATTATAGTTCCTTCCCTCAGGGTCCCTCTGGCTGTAATTGTCTTGGACTTTTGAGAGTCCTTTAAAAGGACTACTGTTGAGGAACTCCTGTTTATTTGGGAGAGAACTAACTGTACTTCATTTGCAGTTTGGGGGATCAGTTGGTTTTCCCACAAGTGAGTTAAACCTTTTGGGATCTATTCACAGGCCCCAGAAGAGTACTTTAATAGATGGGCAAGTCTTTGGCGTTGTCACTGCCCAGACCCTTGGGGTGGGGGCTCCTCCTCCACACACAAGGGAAGGGGCTCGGTGCCTCCTGTTTCTTCCTTGAGCGGTGTTTTGAGCACATCTCTGCTGTACCTCCAGGTGCCCTTCCTGTCTGTGGGTGGGGACATCGGGGTCCGGACCGTTCGGCACCAGGACCGCAGCTCCCTGAGTGGGGACTACGTCGTGGAGGACGTGCAAGGGGACGACAAGCGTCACTTCCGGCGACTCATCTTCCTCAGCAACAGGAACGTGGTGCAGTCGGAAGCCCGGTTGCTGAAGGACGTGTGTCACAGAGGTGAGGCGTCAGGCGTGCGGTGTGGGACCCAGGGGGCATGGCGTGGACTTTCCATCCGGGGTGGTCAGGAGGCCCTGGGAGCTTGATCGAGATGCACGTCCCTGTGGCCAGGGGCACGTGGCTCTGGGTTGTCCCTTTACCATCTGGGCTCTTAGGGTGTGAGCAGCCATACGCCAAACGGAGGCGTGTGTTCTGTTCTTGAGCAAAGCCTGGCTGTGGAGAGAGAAGGAGCAGGCGGGGTGGTTTACCGAGGAAATGTGATCATCGCTTTAGTGCCTTCAGTGTAAAACCTGCCTGTTTTACTAGTTGCCCCATAGGTGTCTGGGTATTAACTCAACATCCCCTGTGAGCTGAGCCAGAAACATGGACAGTGTGGGCGAGCCCTGCCCGACTCCCCAGGGCCACCACTCGCACCCGTTTCAGAGGGTTTTGGAGTGATGGGTGCCTCAGAGGTCGTGTAGTTAGTG